TTTATTGAATAATTCCACATAAAATGGTATACATAAATGACTCATTTCATAACGATTTAAATAAAATATATTTCATAACCTTTTTTGTGCAAACGGCATTTGCGAATTGATAGAAAAGTACTACAGATTGTAAATTTTTTTTAACTATGAGGTGAATGACCTGACGGCCTGACGGTTTTGAAGAATTTGTTTGTTCTAATTTTATTACTAAGGCGTCTAATAAATGCATGGCTTTTAATTCTAGAAGAATAAAAGTCAGTAAAGGCGAGTCTTTTTTGTATAATTTCTGATTTTAATTGCTCAACTTCTTTTGCACCAGAGCAACTGTAAAAAATTTCCAGCAGTAAAAAGTTACGAATTGGCACAGCAGAAATGTAAAATTTTCTCGCCAGAATAAAAAGTTTTTTTAACATGGAACTTTTCTACTAATTGACATGAAATTACTATCTCAGCGCTCGGAGCGCTGCCATTAAGGGATTTTGCCAACTGATAAAAAAGAGAAAATTTGGAAAAACCAAACAAAAATTTTGAGATTTCTCGTTGTGAATACGAATGCCATAGTTTTTACCTAGCTCGTGGGACTACGCAAAATTTTGACAGCTTGTAAATATGTATACACATAAAGTGGTTGGCGGTAATAAAGAGTCAAAATCAAAATGGAGAAAAGAACAAAAAGCGTACGCTAGTTTTCAGTTATAAAATAAACCCAATTTATTTGCGAATATTTGTTTATTCTATTTATTGAAAGGCAACCACGCTGAAAAGCTTGTGTTAATTATATTGATAACAGAACCTGGGAACTCGCACGTTGTCTAAATTCTCATGTAAGATAAAATCCACAATAGAATACATAGCTTGTATTACCATCAATATGCCATGTATAAATTTTAACAACACACAAAAATAGAGATTTCTCACGAGCGTTTGTTTGGTTTTTCAACACCATTTATAATTTTTGTTTAATAAAATTATCTCAAATTCTTAAATTTATTTACCTAATAATAATGCAGCACACAACCCTGAAATCGAAGAAAAATTCTGAGGGAGGCCATTAAATAGCAGCACACAACCCAGTGCGTTCCTCAAGGGTCATGATCCAACTACACAAGATCTGACAAGATGAAGCAAAAGAAAAAAGTATTTTTCTGGTTGACGTTTGTAATTTCGGCGCCATGTTATTTTCTTTGAAAAGTAAACAAAGAATATGAAGACGAAGCATAAAGAAAAAAATGCAAGCAATTTTGTAGCACATGTTTGTGCTAGCCAATTTATTATTTTTGAACGTATTTTTGCAACCAATCACCGCGCACTTCATTTTAATTACATTTGCACAAAAAGTTATTGAAGATAGCTTAAAAATCACTGAAATAAACCACCGACAAAATACACATAAAGAAAGAAGCAAAACAGAAATAGCAAAATTCATAATTACGAACGTCACACACTTTTTTCTCAATTACTATTACAAATGGCTGCTTCCCAACCGGTCAGTAGCCCGTTTCTGTATCTTTGCGATATGAATTATATCGCAAAATGCAACCCTTCTGCATAGTTATCGCAAGGTAGTGTTTCTGTAAGTGTGGTGTAAATGAATTTTCGATATACCTTGCGATATTTATATCGCCAGCTCTAAGTGTAGTGATATTTGGCGCAAAAAGCAAAATGAGTGAAGTGTGTGCTTATAAATATCTTCTTCTTTCTTTATTTTATTAATTTCATCTTGCAGAAAAAAACTAGAAGTGGGAAAATTACAAAAATTCAGAAAGTAAAACTTCTGGATTAAATGAAATACAACAGGAAGGTGGCAATGGGAAATTTTGGCGGTCCAAATAGCGCCTCGCACAGCCGCAATGTGTGGGAAGCCGTTGCTGTGGAGCTTAACGCAGCTGGAGGAGCTTGCAAAACAGCCGAGCAGTGGAAAATGGTATATATATGAGTACTTTTTAAAAAAGGTATGATGAAGTCATAATATATATTTTTTGTAGAGTTGGGCCGACTGGAAGTGCGCAGTAAAAAAACAGCAGGCAGAAATTAAAAGGTTTCAAAACCGAACCGGCAATTTGCCTGCGAGCGAAGGACCTGCACCGCTGGAAGAAATTGACTCTGAAATTCTACAGTTCTTCCCGTCAGCAATGGTGAAAGGAGATGGCAGAACAAAAGAAGCTGGCTTTACAGAAGTAATATGCTTGTGTCGATGGTCCTCTGCAAGACGACATTACTCAAAACTAAAAAAAAAAACTTACTACTGTTAAGCGGC